GCTGGGGTGTCCCGGGGCCCGGGGTGACTTCTGACGCGTTCGCATCTGCAGTAGGAAAAGCACCGGCGGTGGAGGGTCCGAGGGAAGGGGTCCATGGAGCCCCGATGTACACGTTGGTTACCCTAAAATGTGTCCCCGCCCCGGGCTGTCCGGGGGAGACGTCTCCCGCACCACTTTGCTCGGTTCGCAGGGAGTATTTTTAGCCAACCCGTGTTGGTTTTCCGTATGATAAAGGCGTTTTATTTCCTCCTTACCCGAACCGATGAAGGTTAGCGTTCCATTCTCAAAGCGCCTATAACCAACAGTGGCTTGGCGTCACACCTGCTTCTTGACGCCCAGTGCTCCCATTAAGGTGATCAACCTGTCGTTAAGTTTTGGGAATAGAATTATTTAAATAGAAATATTTAAACATTTTCGTTCCCTCTTAAGTTTACTCGTATGTATTATACCTTTGAAAGATGCCACCCAGAGCTGCATGTCCCCAAACACTGGTGTCTTCAGGACAGTTCCCGGGCAATGCTTTCCCCTCTGCTTGCTGAGGGCTTCCCAGAGAGGACAGGGAGAAGGAGAAAGGGTCGGTGATGCTGCTCTGCCCTGGGGAAGAGAATTAGCTGCCCCTCTGTGCAGGGCTCTTCCAGAGGGCTCGGTCCTCTCTCAGGGGCACCCCAACGGTGGGTGGCGTGGTAAATAGGTGATGAGACTCTGAGCTGGTGCCCCATTCTGCCCTGAGGTGCAGGCCAAAGACTCAGCACGAGCTTGGAAAGGAATGCCTTGGCTTTGAGTAATGCCTGTTAGATACGGGAAGACAACGCGTTCAGCGACATCCTCAACCAGTTTGAAGATACAGTTGAAAGGGAAGAGAGGAGGCCTTGCTGCAGGGGGCAGAGGGGAAGAGAAAACTGGTCCAGCTCTGGGAAATGCATGACGCGTGTCTTGAGGTGCGATGTGCCCAGGAAGTCAGTCCTGGGAGTGAAGAGAGAATTAGCTAATGACATCATCGGCAAAAACTTCTGGGCGAACAGGCTAATTCGTTCCTTTGTGAACTTACATGTTGTAATAGCAGTTCAACTGCTTTTCGATTTTTGGAAGAAGAAAATTCTTTAGGCTGACATTTGTCTGTGAGTGAGTAAAACAAACGTAGTTCATTATTATCCATAATATTTACCAAGTACTATGCTGTGTGCTAGGCCCTCCCTGTTTTCAGCAGGGGACACAGTAAAGGACAAGCTAGGCAGAGATTTAAAAAAGCTCCAAAGCTGGCAGTTTGTTTTATTAATCACTTTTGTAGCATCACAGTTTAAAAATAAAATTTATAATTTTAGTTATAAATTTTTTAAATGTCTAGCATTAATTTTTTTTGCAGATTTAAAAATATAAGTATGCACACAGTACATACAAAAAGACAAGGAAACCTCCTTCCACCCCATACCCAGTAGCTCAGCTTCCTCCACCTGCTGTGATTGTGTATTCTTCCCGCAATAGTCAAAATAGAGTACACACAGTCGTATATGTGTTTTAATATCGTTTTTAGTGTTTGCGATAACAGACAGCGCCACAGTGAACATTTTATGCATAGCTGCAAGCAAAGCCTGGTAATCACTTTTTATTAATCATCAAAATTCCTTAGCTATAAGGCTTATTAAGAGCTGGGTTATATTCCCTTAGATGTTGTGACAAGCCTTGTCAGTACTTAGAACCAAAGCATATTATTTAAATAGGTAGAAGATCGCTAGAACGTACACTTTGGAGTTTAATAGGTGAACTTACCAACTTATTAAAAACTTGAAGAAAATTTATCAGTCTTAGTATGAAACTGAGATGAGCTTAGAGAGGTCCAATTTTATTGGAAAACTTGATGATTTTGTTTTGTGGGTTTTTTTGGTGTTAACTTTCTAAAATGCAAATTTCCAAATCTATAATTTGTGATAGAAATGGTGATTTTTAAAAAACACACCCTTTTAAAAATATGTTTATAATATGTGAGGTAGGAAAGGCCGTGGTGAGAATTTCACTTACACATTGTATGTTGGAGTCATTATGATTCCCTTGTTCCTTGAGTGACTGTTCTTGGCCATGTTCCTTTCATGTGGAGTGTGGAGAGGGGACATGCAGTGACCAGCGGGTCTTCACGTGGCCTTGCTGCAGAGCTCACGATTGGGCCCGGACCATGGGCATCATCACCTCTTTGTGTGCTCTGGTGAGGGCGCTGGCTGACCTTCTCCACCTGTACCTGTGCAAGGTGTTCTAGGAGGGTACAAAGAAAACGCACTTTGGCTTTAGGTTTCCCGTCCTTGTGATGGAATGAAGCTGAAGATAAGCAGGGAACGGGTAGAAGGAGCTCAGAGGTGCCTGCCTGCCTCTAGGTTGGTTTTGTCTCACTTGCGGGTCACCCCACAGCTATTTACCAGGTATTGTTCTGGACCCTGGAGGCATGGGAGCTTGCACAGCAAGAATAGTTCCTGCCCTCATGGGGTTCACATTATAAGGAGAGAACATAAAGTCCTAAGTGCCAGGCTGGGCAGTGTGTGTGGAATCTGAGAGGGAGCCCAAAGGATGGAGGGAGCTGGGTGCTGCCCTGGCAGCCGCATTCAGGCAGCAGGAACTCTGGAGTCAAAGCTTTGTGCCCAACCGATTGTACTGCACTGGTGACAGCAGGGAGGTCACTGGCAGGAAGTGCCCCTGGGGCACCGAGGGGTGAGGTGAGGAATTTAGATGTTCACCTACCTCAGTGTGATAGGAAGCCTTGGGAGGGCTGCCTTCCTCCCTCCTTCTCTTCCTCCTTCCTTTCCTCCCTTCCTTCCTAGCTGGCTTAGAGAGTTTTGAATGAGGGAGTGACATGATCTGATTTATCTTTACAGAGAATCGTCCTGGCTGTTACGTAGCTAACATTTGTGAGGAGCTTAAGCACTTTGCATATATTAATGCAATTCTCACGAAAGTCCAAAAAGTAGGCATTATTGTTTGTCTTCTGTGGGTAAAACTAGGCAGAGAGAGGCCACAAATAAGTGGCAAAGGCAGGACCTTCCTGAGCACCTGTTCCTGGGCCCTTCCCCCCCGGCCTGCCACAGGCGGGAGGGGAACAACAAGGGTATCCGTGACCAGGGCAGAGTTGGCCAGATCCGATGCCACCATCGGTAAGTTGCAGCATTACTGTTTGTACTATTAGCAGGAAAGTGTTACCAATTAGACTGGCACGTGCTTTCTTATCACTTAGCTTTTCCTCTACTCACTGCAAGTACAGACTTTTCAAGTCAGACGACTCTTGTGCTTCCATAAAAGAGGAAAATGAGTGAAGTAAAATAAAGTAATTCTAAATGTCTTCCTGTTTAGAACCCAGTTCTTCCAAGTCGGCCTTTGCTGTGGTGCCGCGCTGCCCACTGTGCTGCCCGCTGTGCTGTCACTGGGCATTTCTGAGACAGCAGCACTGTTGTCCCTGGGGTGTCGTCCCAGCTGCCAGGCCCAGTCAGCAAGTCTGCATGCTTTCTCGTTCTCGCTGTCAGGTGTTAAGGAAAGGTTTCCGGTCCTGAAGGGACCTGCTGACCGACTCGCTGACAGTTACGCTGTCCTGTCATACCTCCAAGAGGAGCAGCTGAGCTGAGTGTGCCCATGCAGAGCCTTGTGACACACCTCCAATTCCAGGCACTCCATTTTCCCAGGAGTTAGGATGTGGGGCACGCCCTTAGCACTGAGGAATGTGGCGGGCCCATCAGGATGGCCAATAGACTCTGTGAGAAGGAGCATTCCAGAACGACCCCAGGGTTGTTGGCGGCACAGCTGGCTGGCCAGTTGTGAGGCGGGGAAGTCTCTGTGGAGATGAGGAGCGAGGAGCGCAGGAGTTTCACACTTGGGAGGCCGTTCCTCAGCGG